ATTTCCTTGAGTTCCTCTTCCTCGGATTTTATGAACAAATGGAACAGTATGTGATTACCTTCAAAGATAAAATATTGTGATAATAGTTGAAGTCAGAAGTTTGATTTATTACTTACAATGATGTATTTTGTGATCTTCATTTTGTCAGTATTACCTATGCAAATACTTATGGAGCATTCAGCAGGATCTCAACCACTGAATTACTCCTATGCACCTGACGGTGCTGTTGTAATATGCTTCACTTCAGGTTTGAGTTCTATCTAAAATTTTCCTGTTCCATTTTAAAATGCACATTTCCATGCTGTTGAACTTCAACTTTTCAAAATTCTCCTCATTATAAAGAAACCATGACACCATGTCTAGTAGAAGTATTGCCCTATTTTGTCTATTTTGTTTTGTTAAATATACAAGAATAGGAAGTGATATAAACACAGCCTTACCAATTGAGTTAAAACTTGAACCTGCTGTTGTGTTTGACATCTTATTATTTTTATAATTTCATCAGAAAGTGATTGTTGTTACCCATTTGTGAACAATTGCCAATTAGTCAGTAGTCAAAATTGATCTCAAAATGTCAGAATTCAGCATTGTATTAAAATAAACGAGGACTTTCAGGTTCCAAAAAGACAAATATATAGAGCAAAGTTGAAAGACCAAATTAGTCTTAACTATTTCAGTTTCCCTTTTTATTTTGGCTACAGGAACTACAGGAAGGCCAAAGGGAGTAACTATTGGCCATTCAGCTTTGATTGTACAGTCTCTAGCAAAAGTTGGCATGGTTGGTTACAGTGAGGATGATGTATGCCTTGTAGAAATAGATACATAATAGTTTTTCAAGTATGGTTGTGCGAAATAGACTTATGTGTGCCTAATTGAACCAAAAAAAAAAAAAAAAAAAGTATGAGGAACAATGATCTTTAAATTATCCTCCTCCTACTAACGATCCTTAAATTCTTATCATGTGGGGGGGTTTCAGGTTTATTTGCATACTGCTCCTTTGTGCCATATTGGTGGTTTATCTTCTGCCATGGCCATGCTAATGGTTGGGGCATGTCATGTATTGATACCTAAGTTTGAAGCTATATCAGCCCTTGAAGCCATAGAGCAACACCATGTGACTTCCTTAATCACTGTCCCTGCAATAATGGCTGATATAATTTCATCGATCAGGTAAATAACATAATTCTCTTTGCTAATAGAGAAATGAGAGTCAGCAATTAAAATGAGTCAATGACCCTGTGGTTCCTTTTGCAGCTTGCTGAAAGCTATAAAGTTACACTTGAAAAGCTTAGTGCTAATGCTTCAATCCCAACAAAAAAAAAAAAAATGCTGACACCTGTCAATTTTGTAGTCATGTTGTATTGTTTTCCGTTTTGAGATCTTGCTTTGGAATCTTTTCTTAGGTTGAAGGAAACTTGGAAGGGGAGAGGTAGTGTGAAGAAGATATTGAACGGAGGTGGAGGTCTATCAAATGAGCTTATAAAAGATGCAACCAAATTCTTCCCAAGAGCAAAGCTTCTTTCTGCTTATGGTGCGTTAAACTTATTCTCCTACTTCTGTATTCAAACTTAAAATAGTTTTTTATGGGAATATTCATGATAATATTCTGATGGCCAAAAAAGCAGATGAAATTGTTGGGTTAGGCATTCTAGGGAACAACTGATGTAAAACTTTTATAAAATAGAAGCACTAGTGAATGAGCTTTGTAGATTTTCCTTATTTAAATTAAAAGGT